ATTCCTCTCAAAACTCTCAACACATGTTTCAACCAACTGTGACAGAATAGCGTACCCAGATTACACTTATTTTAATTTTTAAAAAATTAAAATAAGTGTAATCTGGGTACGCTATTCTGTCACAGTTGGTTGAAACATGTGTTGAGAGTTTGAGAAGAATAAATTAAATGTTGAGAATGACATGAGGTTGGCGTAAACAAAAACTCACCCGCGAATTTTGAAACTGGTTAATAACATGCAATTTCAACCATCGCATTAAGTTATTAAAGATAATTTAAAATAAAATTATACTAAAAAACTAATTTCGTTGTTTTTTTAATTACTTTATTAAAAATGCCTTTTTCAATTGTATCGAGGTCGCAGGACACTTGGCATTTGTAAAAAGGGGTCGCCACCCGAAAAAGGTTGGGAACCATTGCTCTAAAGTGATTAATCTATTACATGCAACTCGAGATTAGACATTTGTTTAAATCTCAATTACTTTGCGATTTTCTAATAAAAATGAGGGTGGAGAAAGAAGGTGTCCAGCATAAAATTTTGAAAGGAAGATCAAATAAGACAGAAACGTAGAGATGAAGATGATTTATTTTGTTATGGCAACGCAACACCCGGGCAATCCACCAAAAAGAAATGTTCCTTGCGAGAACTTTCTAAGAAAAATTGACACTTATTTAGATGTTACTAACGCGAAGAAAAATGAAAAAACTTCACGTGAACAGGCGTGAACCCGCGACCAGCTGCCAGTGTATAGTAGTATATGCACTCGGCTACTGATAAGCTACGAGACATACCGAGTGCATAAGAGATGAGACATTGTCTCACAGTTAATTCAAAGGATCCAAAAATCAGAAAAATTTTGCTTGCATCCTCGACATCCGAAAGAACCCGAAGCTGACAAACTTACTTCGCAGTTTGAGGACCACGGCCAACATATAAAATAGGTGATGCCAAAGCTTTATACTCATCATACCCACGCAGCTCGATGATTCCATTTTAACTGTAATCACTTTACAACATAATCTGCTAGAATAATGATGTAAACACTGACATAAAGTTAATGTTAAATACGTCCGTATTGGAAAGAACGATAATTGTTCAATCAATTAAATTGAAATTATTTACTATAAAAAATTTATAGAATAACTTTATTAAAGACTTCCTTTTCATTGCGTGATACATGACAACAGTTTACGTAAATGGAAAGAACTTCGAAAATAATCGTTATTACAAAAACAATTGAGTCATAAATGAGACACAGAATAATGTTTAATCATTTTTTATCATTAAATATATTGAACCGTTTTTTTTTTATAAAATAGAAAAGCCTGTTTAAAATTATAAGCGATTACTTGAATATACTGCAGGTAAATTTAACGAAACGTTTTGTAAAAATGTTTTCATGTTTCCCATAGAATATGAAACACACATTACAAAGTTTCTACATCAAAATGTTTTTATAAAGCGATATTTTACAACATTAAATATCCGTTAATTCTTCACCTTATAATCTGGAAGAGTCGCATAGGTGTCAAAATAACAAAGTTATACTCAGCCATCAATTTAGCAGTTCAAAAATAGCAATAATTACTCGATTAATTATATTAAAAGCCACTTATTGCTGTGTGAAATTCGAGGTTTATATAAGGTAATAAAAGCATTTAATCCTTTAAATTTTTAATAAATTCCTTTAACTAGAGGAAGTTGCACCTGCAGAAACGAAATTTGAGGTGCATGAGAAAATTATAACTCTTTCTATTTAACTATAAACATTCTCACGATCAATCCGTGAATAGTTTACAATTATCGACGAAATTCGTCATATTGTTGCCATTCTATCGCTACCTTTAACCCCACATCTGCGAAAACAATTGGTCACCTGACGAATTTTCTCACCAAAAAGATATAAAAGCACGACACCTTCCACTCATCGGGGGAATCGCCGAACGTCGAAGTCAGACATCGCCTTCTCCATCGCAGCCCTACACTCCCATCGCAGACTTGCGCTTTCGTAGTCGACCTATACTTGTCTCACCGCTCAGGATCCATAAAGGACGACATTATACGGGGAAATATCTCATTAGTATATGCAAAGAGGTATGAACGCTTGTTATTGTAAACTCTCTCTCTCATCCGTGAAGTCTATGAAGTTTTGTAAAATTTTATTTAGTTAGCGCGTTAAATAAACCGTTGTTTTGTTTTAAATGGTGTCGTTACTCGACTTTGCCAACGTCTTATCGTCGACCCCTCCGACTCTCCTCCACTCGCGTAACGCGTAACCGAACGTTACTACCATCCCTGACAAGAAAGTAGGTCACCGACCAGTGGCCGGAAAGAGAGGACTCTCTTGTTTCCTGTTTGATATTTGCAATAATTTCGCTTTTTCGCAAAGGTTTATCTATTCAATACTAGAGCAACAAAAGTAAATAGATGACCACGTGATGTTTTCAGGGATTCGTCACAAGTTTAACACACAAATAAATGTCGAGTTTCCGTTATTATGCAACACTTAAGAAATCATTCAAGTTATTCCTTTCAGATTGCCCAAGTGTTAAGTTCCTTATTCCATCAATTTAATATAAACATATTTTTATTGGAAACAAATTCTCAAATTATTCTTAACACATTGCTATTATGATTCCACGTAATAGTGAGTTTATGATCTTAATAACAAATTTAATTTAATCAATTACTTCATAGCTTCATCTTTCTTGGATCGTTGCTCCTAAAAATGTTTGGCTGCCAAAGGAAGTATTCGTCATTTCTTGCTGTACTTTACAATCTCAATCCAGTCGAAATATATAATTTTCTACTGTTAAAAAGCACGTATAAAATATTCTAACTTATTAAAAAATAATTTTCAAACATCGAAAATACTTTAAACCGTCAAAGCAAATACAAGAAATATTAATCTTCGTTAATATATGCCCATTTATAATAATTGAGTATAAAAAATTTACGAGTATATTATCAATGATAACAGCTATGTGCACCCAAATAGTATTCATGCTCTGCGTTTTTGACACGCTCTTGTACATAGCGAAGTTATCGATATTATTGCTGGAATAAGAAATAATGCGTGAAATACTGATTGCAGTACAATTACGAAAACGATTTTAACGAAAGTGGTGTATACATACATATTATAATAGCCGATGATTATCAATACTAATCCAGTAGATATTGCCCCTTGAATTAACGGGAAACCCACGTGACATAAACGATCCTTTAACTTCTTTTCAGTCGTTGCTTGTAGTGAAGTAACGAAAGAATAGCATATATGGGTAGGATAATTAACACAGAACCCGATGCTGAGAGTCAAGCTAAGCAGAGACAGGATATCTAGATTGATATCCCATAAAGACACGAATCCGATCGTCTGCACGGTGATGGACACGACACAGGTAGCGACAATAACAGCGCAATGCAAATTGGGAATTAAAGAAACGAAAATGCCGAAAATTAACAAGGAAGTGATCCAAAACAGCTGAAATGTTATCTGTTTGATAACGATTCCTTGTTCGATTATAGGTGCTATCAATGTATGGATTACAACGGAAAATGGCGCATCTTCGGCTGTTTTCAATAAATCCTTAACTATTTTGTATTCTCTTACTCTGTCCGAAACATTTTTCGCTAGAAAAAAGAAACGACTGGCGACAATATCGGTGTAATTTTGATTAAAAATTATGTCATTGTTAAAATGCTTGGCTCCTGTGATTTTCAAGAAGACGTTTCTAAGAGCATCTATAAAATCTTGCTTCTGAGACAGATCGTAACCCCTTAAAGAATATTTCGAAATGGGATGATTTTGGAATTCCTTATAATATTTTAACCAAGAAAGTTCGTACTCCTGTCTGGCAATATTTTCAATAGTGTGAAATTTTTCCAAGAAATTATTAACTGATTCTTGAACTCGTGGATTAGAATAATCTAAAGTTTCGTTAATTACGACGTGCACCGTAAAAGGGTATTGGGTAAAATATTTATAGAAAACATGAAATCCCTGTGTAATGTCGGAGCTTTCTGAATTGAATTTGCGGACATTCAGCCCTTCTTGTAAGGACATAACACCCCATATACTAGTTGACAATAATATAAAATACGATAAAATAATAAGAATTCGTGATACAGGATGAAAAATAAAAGCCGAAAATGTATCTCTGAAGAACTTCATAAAACAGTCTTCATTTTCTTTTTTGTAAAAGTCACTTTGTCCAACAGTTTCTGTAAAATTAAAATATATTCTATAGATGAATTAAGTTCATTTGTATGATATTTTATAACAATAAAGAAATCTTATCATTTAAATTATGATTGCATCTATATATATAATCGAGACGGGTTGATAATAATAATAATAATCAGCGCAGAGCCCAAACGGTTAAGAGTTGAAAGTTGAAATTTGGTACACAGATAGGGTACGTCACGAAAACGCACACTAAGAAGGGATTTTGCGAAATTCTCCCCGGGGGAGAGAGACAGGATTAAAACTTCTATATACATTATGGATACGAGCCCAAACGGTGAGGAGTTGAAAGTTAAAATTTGGTACACAGTTAGGGTACGTTAGGAGAACGCACACTAAGAAGGGATTTTTCGAAATTCCTCCCCACGGGGGAGAGGGACAGGATTAAGGCTTAACACTTCCATCAACAATGGAAGTGTTAAGCCTTAACACTGTTACTTAAGCATTGTTACTTAACACTTCCATCAACAATGGAAGTGTTAAGTAACAATGGAAGTGCTAAGTATCAATGGAAGTGCTAAGTAACAATGGAAGTGTCAACAATGGAAATGCTACGTAACAATGCAATTATTAAGAGAAAGCGACGTGCAATACTCAGATGCAGTTTTTTTCGTTTTTGCGGGAAATCGAACATATTTTTAGACCCATCTAAAAATTCTCTAATTAGTCTTGAAACAAGGGGACCCAATTATTGCATTCTGTGAAAACGGGTAAGGTTTACTGTAACGTAATAATCTTTATCTTAGTTATCGTTACTTTTGCCCGAGCAACGCCGGGCCCACCTGCTAGTCTATAATAATCTAAATCATAATTTTACAGAAATTTTACGATTAAAATTAATACTAGTTTTTGAATTTAATTAACGAATTTATTGTGGAAGCGCCTGGATGTCGTAGCAGACTAATTCATAGTAAATTAGAGATTACACTTTCTTTTGAATTAGCCGCATAAAAGAGCTTAAATTATCTTTAAAGAAAGCAAGCAATATACTTCTACTCACCAACCTAAACAATTTTGTTAACTTTTTTTCTACATGTCAATATTGTCTACATGAACATTGTTTGAAATATGACTTATTATTCTAGTGTAATTTCTTCCTACAAAGAGTGAATATTTTCGGCTCATATCTTCAGTTTACTAATCAGAAACTATACTATTATAATTATTTTTATTTATTCACAAGGTGTAAGTTGGCTATATCGAAACAAAAAAGTATAACAGTAATAACATAAAGGTAAAAATATTGTTATAATCACATGTATAAAATTGAGATTTAAGAGTATATACCCGTAAATATTCTATGCGCTATATATTATTTTAAAATATAAATATAGTAGTGAAATGTTAATTATATATTTAAAATAATGTAAATGAATTTAGAATAATAAGGAGAAAAATCATATGTCTGTTTCAATTTTACGCTATGACAAAGGACTCTTTTACATCGACGATTACAGAAACTCATAAATTACTGGAGGATAAAAAAATAAACTGTCAACGCACATAAAACATGTGAGTTAAAATGGTAATAATGAAACTGAATTAGCATTTAGTTCTATTCTAATTAATTACGTTATATTCCTAAACTTAATAGCATTACTTTGATAATTATGATTTTACAGCAAGTTCTGTATCACTTTTTGATACGTATTTTGACTGTTTTTCGAATTTTTCTTGTTTAATCTAGATCTCTTTACATTATTGACTACAACATGTTCTAGATTATCTGTTACCACCGGTTCAAATATTCGTTCTATGAGTCACCACGAAACAAGCATTCAGTTAGTGTTTCTACTATCTTATACGTGCGTAATAAGGAAAACGTTTTGCATGATACTGTATACACAATCGAGACATTTGTACAAAGCAACAACATTTCCACATTCGAAAACCTAAGATTGAAACCGAATTAATTTAGTCCATCGGTTGTTTTTAATGCTTTTTTTTCTAGGCACAGACAAACGAATGAGGACGTTAACAGTAAATTCATGACATTAGGATATGTCTCTTTTCTCTTTTTGATATACAGTATCTACTATATAAATTTGAAAAATCGGATTCTTTCTTTATGTCATTGTATACCAAAAATGGCCATTAGCGGCGGCCCTAGCTATTATTTAAATTAACAATAAATTCAATATATTATTATTTGATGCAGTTTTTTGCACATTTGCCTGCGTTTTAGTAGTGTACGCCGGAGAAATTTTTTATTTATTATTGTATTTATTTGTAATAGGAATTTATTATTTATACCACGGAATGATATCGCTGCTGCTAGAACTCCCACTAGGGGTTGCCCCGGGAAAATACCCTATTGGGAGTTCTAGTGGGAATCACTTAGATTTTACAAATACGTGTGAACGGCTCACGTATTTGTAAAATCTAAGTGACTCGTACAACATGGAATTGATATAACCCGGAATTATCAACAGTGTTATGGGGGGTCTACTGTAATCTAATAATCTTAATCTTAATCTTTGTTGTTGTTTTTTACCCGGGCAATGCTATTAACTGATAAATATTATAGGTATGATATAATGGTATAAAAATGTTTCGCTTTTTTACTTTACTATACGTTTGATAGTTTTTAAATTACATCTTTAAAATGCAAGATTCATAGTGAAGAGTATAAAATAATTTGGCAATCAGATGTTTAATTTTTACTGCAACTATCAGAAATGAGACTGCAGCGATCTACAGTTGTACTGTCCAGTTCTTATGTTTCTGGGCGAAAGTCAGTCGTTTTTTTTTTCATGTTTGGGGTACGCCGAGGTTTCCTAGCTGGTTTGTAGGATAATAAAGCAAAATCTTTGAGTACTATTTCAAGACGTTTGACCAAACTGATGTTGGTGCCCTTTGCATCTAGAGTACGTTTAATCTTCTTGCCGGGGGTTGTTGGAGATTTCACTACCATCCTTCGGATAACATGATCATCACGAGCACTCATTTTTCTTTGGCGATCGCTTCTCTTCAGGTCTGTGTATTTTCCTGAATTGTCAAATTTATTAAATTTACTGACAGCTTGATGAACAGCAGTCTTGCTCACATGTACATCTTAGCTATTTCACGTTCAGAAAAGCCAACTTTATGCAAGGCCACAATTTCTGCCCGTTTTGCAACAGTAAGTGATAGCGTTTTACTCATTACAATGATCAGAAAATAGCACCTCTATGGTTAAATTTACAAAACAACTAGCGATGAATAAGATGAGGTGGTTATTTACAGCAGTCAAAAGTGTGTGATGCATTACAACACATAAAATAATGAAATATTGTGTGTAAATGATGCTATGTTTTAAAATACGAAAATCGGCTGCTAGTCTTAAACTTTTGCCCGTTTTGCAACAGTAAGTGATAGCGTTTTACTCATTACAATGATCAGAAAATAGCACCTCTATGGTTAAATTTACAAAATAACTAGCGATGAATAAGATGAGGTGGTTATTTACAGCAGTCAAAAGTGTGTGATGCATTCAACACATAAAATAATGCAATATTGTGTGTAAATGATGCTATGTTTTAAAATACGAAAATCGGCTGCTAGTCTTAAACTTTTGCACACGACTGTATTATGATTTTTTCTTTAAAAACTTTATATATTTAAAATTATTATAAAGTGAAAAAATATAATAAATTTTCACAGTAAAAGCGAGTTTTATCGAAAACTAAAAAAATTCTAGTAAAGAGTAAATTAGTCTTTAAGCGACGACCTAGTCCAAATATGATATACGACCTTTTCTATTTTCTTATCTTTTCGACTGTTGATCACAAAAATTTAATAGCATGAATACATTTAACACTGAAACCTCTCCACAATATTTTATAAATTTTTGACGAAAAGAACTGACGTTGTTCGGCTATAAATCTTGTTAACAAAATCTTCCCCCTCAAAAGTTGACATTTCAACACACAGAAAACCTCCCGAATACTTTTGCATTTATCCACGTTTAAATGTCACTCGAATCAAAAAGTATAAGAATCTTGCAAAGTCATTTCTTTGATCGATCGCCATACTTTTCCTCTGTTATATATAAAAACGCCGAAAAAGTAATTAATAAATATGTATTATGAAAGTCAACTATTTTGTGTTTGTTGTCACATTTACTCAAAAATATAAATTTCAAAATCGAATGGCTTCCACTATATACATTTTCTCATTTAAAAATATGTGACATAATTTATAATTAAAACACTTAAAACATGACTTTTCCTATTTTTATAATTACAATCTATAATGAATTCCCCATAAATTAAGGACAGTTTAACGGATTCTCACTAACATTTTAAATCAAATGCCCTGTCATGAAGAAGAAAAGTGTGTCGAGCAATACAGTTTAAACTTTAAGTTATTATTTAAAAAATAGGAAAAAAATTAATAATAAAAATTAAACAGTTTTAACATATTTACCAAAAGCTGGTTTAAATGTGAAAGGATGAAGATTCTTCTCTTCCCTGTATCCACTTAATGCCAAACATCCACCAAAAAATAATAACTGAAAGAAATAACTGAAAAAGATGCTCGTTGCAGCATACAAACAGAATATTCTTACACTCGGAAATGGTGAGGTCATGGCAATGCAATAGGAGAAGAAATTCGTTAGAGACGTTATGGTGATGGACACTGCAGCGTTGCGATATGTCTGTTCCATTCGCTTTTCCACGCTGTCGTCGCAATCTGTTACCTTCCAACAAGCCAATACGACAAACGAGTCGTCCACTTCCGTAGCTTTAATATATCAAATCAATAAAAATATATAAAGCGAAATTTATTAGCATTTGCAAGTATATTATAGTTTAGCTTACCAAGAATCATGAAAGGAAGACTGACGTTCCACCGAACATTTTGTACTCCACAGGCGGATAAAAACCCAAAAGTGGTGGCAATAGCGAGACCCGCAGATACGACAGCAGATACGCCTAACCAGGGTTTGGATTTCACCCAATTGTTTGTCATGTTCGTCACCATGGAGAAAATGGCAACGACGATTACAGCCACGCTTATCAAGGACACTAATTCCTGTGAAATGCGTTTTATTTCATAATCGGTAGACGCGAATGGATCGGGAAATGCTTTAATATGCTCGAAAGTATAATCTCTTAACTTGTTGTAAACTGCTGTTTTCCATTCTTCATTCCACATTTTCTTACTTGCATTCGATTCGTCCGTCGGATACAGTAAACGAACGGCTTTTGCTTCAATTATGTATCCTTTGTCGTCTGTCTTCACCCCTCCTAAATTCAGACAAAGGATTTTGTACGCGTATGTTAGAGGATCCATATTAACGGGATACTTCATTTTTAATATTTTATGGATAGCATTTTCGGAGTCGTTCAGCAGATCAATAAGAGTATTTTCTAAACACTTGCCATCTACAATCTGGCACACGTCAGAGTAACCAATAATCTTTCCATCTACAATAGCTGTGGTATTTTTTACAACCTGATCTACAATTTGTATTTCTTTTAAGAACGTTTTGTGTAAAATGTTGCTTTCTCTGTCATTTACTATGTAGATCATTGGAAAAAGCGGGCGTTTAGTAAGTCGTAAAAAATCGAATCTACCCGAATTGATATGAAATGAATTATGTATAAACTGTTTGGCATCAAAAACTTTTCCCCTGTTTCCAGCTAAGAGAGAATCGTTGTCGTCGTTCGTATGAACCTTGATAAGTCCGATTGATAATAAACCGGAAATAATGACAGGAACAATGACAAAATAGAGAGGATATCGACTAATTATTACACCAAGTCGACCAATTATACTGGACACGGTGTTTGTCAGACACATACATTTCGTTTTCTTTGAAGTGTCGATTCTTCTTACCTAAAAAATTTAAATAGAAATTACTTTATCATACGCATTTCAAATGTTTAGTGTAGTGGAATGATTTTTACCTGTTTGTTCATTGTTATCTTGAATTAGGAAAATCCTGAATTGTCCTGACAATATTTAGAGTATGGTTCTTCACGATGATTGATTCTATCAGATTGAATGAAATATCTTTCGCCTATAAAAATAATTCAATAAAGTTTTAAAATTTCCGAGTAGAAAGTTTACCCTTAGATAAACTGTAGTGTCTTGTACGACGTGTATCATCTGTTTGTATAATGCTTTATTCGTTGATTTTGTTTGAAATTATTTAATTGAAGCCAGCCTTTGTTAAATAGTTTCTGTTATTTTTTTGAGAGAAACATGTCAATTGTGTCATTACATTATATTTATAAAATTATTATTTGAAATAAGACTATATAAAATTGTTTTGAAAGTAAACAGCATAAAAAAACATTGTTCATTAAAGATTCGTCTATAGAAAACAACCTTTAAAGAATGGCTATTTTTTATGTTTTTCATTGTCCGTTTTACAAAGGTTTGAATTTATTTAAAGTGTCTAATATGAAAAGAAGTGGAACAAAACAAATGAATTTATGTCTTTATTTCCTATGAAAATGAAAATGTCTTTATTTCCTAAAATTAATTAAATTGAAGAATTTTTTTTATTTATTTTATTTAAGATATATGCTTTTCATTTCAAATTCTTAGATGCTTCCCCCTGTACAGTACATCGTACCTTTTCTTTAACAATAGAGTACTACAGGTGATGTATCTAACATCTTTTGTGAGAAATTATTCGGGAAATGTAAAATAACGTGACTTCTGGTTTGCGTAGAAAGTTCACATATACTTAATCGGATTTCCTACCCGGAAGCTTTCCACATCTCTTTTCGGCTTTCATCTATTTAACTCCATTATCGAGATTAAGGAAGGGCAGATAGACAGACTTACAACAGTGAAAATTTATAAGTCTACAAATTATTTAAATTGCGGCCCAATGAAAAAATTTTGAGGCTTAAGGCTGTGCACACATTAGGCGTTTTTAAACGTGCGTTTTGGTAACGCGCGTTTTAAAAAATCAAAAGTTATGCATAGGCTCACTTTTGGCCAAGCGCCTTCAAACGCGCGTTTTTTGATAGATTTTTGTTAAAACGGGCATTAGCCGCGCGTATTGAGATGAATGTGCTGCCATGTTGTTGTACATTCGATCGCGCGCTTTTCGGGTAGAGTGGACGTACGTTGGCCGAAATGGAGAACGATTATTTCGATACTGATCTATTTATTGATGAAATCTAAAAGAGACCAGCCATCGTCAAATGATTTTATAGTTATTCTAAAAAAATTAAAAAATTTCGGTTCATATTATCTTAGTTTTGGATATGACGTCAAAAACATTCCATGCGTCAGTCTCTCTCGTAATATTGGGTGCACCCAAAATTCTCTTTGCCTCTGCCATCATCTTTTGTAGAGACGATGGAGAAGGCACACGCAAGCAATTACTTTTACGTTCATTTCCAAACTGAGCCAGTGCTAACGCCGAACTAAACGTTCGTCGAACGCCGAGCTAACGCGCGTTGCGTACGCTGCTAACGCGCGTTTAACGCAACGCAAAACGCCTAATGTGTACAAGCCCTTAAAGTTCATTAACATTTAAGCCTCAAAATTTGATATTGCGACTGACGTTATCTGTTATAAAATGAGCGAATAAAATGAACAATGTTTACTACTTTCAAAAAATGATGACGTTCTTCTTTAGTCTACAATAAAAGTTTTGAAAAAAACGAAATTCGTAATTATGAATTTCTTATCTTGAGACATTGAAATAACTTAATTGGATCTTATTATTTTGGAAAAAAATATAGACAAAAGTTGTAGGGTGCCGAGGGGCCAATCAACTGGTAAACTCAGACGTTACCTTGAAATTCACCTTTAAAGTCATTCGGAGGTTGTTTCTTTTTTTTTTTTCAATCGGAACACGTATTTTTACCGCGGAAATGGGAAAAGCAGAAAATTTCAAAACCGGACGTACCTTTATCCTTATTGTCTTAGTCAAAGGTCAAAATTATTTTAAGGTTAAAATTATAAGCTTTTTCTAATGGGAAACAATACTTTTTATTACTGGAATAGGTCGGGAGGTAATAGGTCGGTCAAAAAGTAAAGATAGCGAAGATTCAGATTATTACATTATAACCAATCTTACCCGTTTTCACCGGCCTAACCCTCTCCTTCTCCCCCGTAAGGACATTTTGAAATTCTATTGTTCGTGTACATTCTCATGACGAACCCTAACTGGGTACCAAATGTCAACTTTCAAGTCCTAACCGTTTGGGCTCTGCGCTTATTATTATTTTTATTATGGGTTTAGTGAGTTATAATCAGTTGACACCGGTAGCTGTGAACTATGCCGGACCAGAGTCAACGCATAGTAACCAAAACAACGTAAAGATTAAATAAGTGTGTGAGTGTGTGTGTGTATTCAGGAATTTCCTAACAATATGAGAGGTTGTATTCAATATAGCGGCCTCCTGCTGTGTCATTATGTATTTGTATTCAATGTTCTCCGGCTTTTGTGTAGTGCAGGGGTGGACAAAACGTGGCGCATGCGCCAAACTTGGCGCATTGGACGATTACAAGTGGCGCTTCAGTCGGTTCTGAGCAACATTGCCAGATTTGGCTTCTTTGCAATTATGAATATTACATAGAAAATTAATTTTTTATAGTCTGTCTTGGCAAGTTCATTTGTTGCACAATTCGTTGCAATCAACTTTACAGATAAAATGAGTGTTCTCCACATAGTAAATTAGAGTGTATGCATGTATGTTTATTTTCGATCAGTACAGGTGTCTAAATGACAGTGCTAACGTCCCACGATAGTGCTACCGTCCGGACAGTCCGGGAATCGGATTGGACTACTAACTTCTTTTCCCCAGTAGTACCTGTGACACCTGTTGACATTTTTTTTCTTTTGCCTGTACGATACACAATACATTCGTGTTCATGTACACCACTAATATCGTATAGAACTACAGTAGAGCGTCGATTATCCGAAAGTCAATCTTCCGAAACGTCAATTAACCGAAAGAATTCCAGTCGGCAAATTTAAATTTTTGCCAGTGCTGTGGCGCTGCAATCTTTGGCTATGTCTTGGGCTACTCAAATATTTTACGTTTTTTATTCTAAATTAACTTCTGAAGTATAATTTTTTATTGTTTTTATATTTTTCAATATATTTATTTTGTTCGTACAAAATAAAAAAAATAATTTTTAACGATGCAATAGTCTTCGTTAGGCTTAACATCGACGAAAATTCAACGCGAAGCGACACGCAACGGAGAAAAATGTCAAGATGGGATAAATTAATATATTTTTTCGTACATAATCGGTTATCCGAAACATCGATCTTCCGAACAACTCCGGTCCCCAATTGATTCGGATAATCGACGCTCTACTGTATTTTATACGGGTAACTACTTCACAACCGCATTTTTCATTGCTTGTTCTGTGGCAAAACTAAATTTTTGTCTTATAAATTGAAATACCTAATTAAGGGGTGGCCGAAATATTTCTCCGCCCCGGGCGGCTAACATCCACGGTACGCCACTGCGCATCTGAACTCGTCTATCAAAAAATTGGCGCACGGTATGCGAAAGGTTGCCCACCCCTGGTGTAGTGTGTGGGGTATGAGATTTGTAGAGGAGAGAACGACAGGTGCAATATGCACCCTATTCATCCTCCACAGATGCCTCATTTCCTGGGCGTGATCCGTGTGCTTGCTGATTTTTTCAATGCGTGTGTTTTGTATATTGTGAGTGTTTAGAATGAATATGTCTATAATGTGTGAAGACCCAACCGAGTTCCGAAATCGCGTAAATCGCGGCATTCTTATGTCTAAATTATATCGATAGATTAAATATGAGAGAGAGAAGAAAATTCCATAATCTAAACAACGCGGCAAAAAATGTAAACAACGAGTTCCGGATAACTCCAACACTTGTTAAACGAACTGTCAATGTCAAAATGAAAAGTTATAAATCAGACACAAGTGTTCATAAACAGATAGGAATTTTAATCAAGTGCTCATAAACAATCAATCTAATTGATTGATTGAAACAATTTCGGAAAAGAGGAAGACATTTAAGAGATATAAATCATCGCATATGATCGTTAAAGTACTCAGATGACAAAAATCACGAATAACGGGGCTAAATTATCAGCGCGAGTCTTGCAGTTTTGTCAACAATCTCCGAGCACAATCGACAAAAAAAGGCGTCAAATAGACACCTGGAATCGGGCCATTCCCGCGACCCGAGGCATTCTCGGTTTTCGCCCGAAAGAAAAGAGATATCAATCGGGAAGCGAGGAAGGGGACGAGGGACCAATCGGGAATATGAATAACGGGAGAAAAACTATAAAAATCAGACATTCAAAGTCAAAAGGGGGAGTCTCCTCTGTATTACACAAAAAGTCGTGATCTGAATTGTGTTGTGTCGTCGCCAACAACTTAGAATTCTGCCGCACAATTTCCCCGATCGTCCACATTGCCCAGCGACCGTATCTCGTCCGCCCCTAGGATAAGACCAACGTTGAAGTTCTCGCCTCTCAGCCTCTCCGAAGGACCAGTGAAGGACTGTCAATTGTCGATGTAAGCGTAAATATTAACAAATAAACGGCTTTCTTGTGTAAAACACTTGTCATCATTTGCTTCCTACGCCACAGTCCACATACAGCCTTCCGTTAGGTTCATTTTGACGCGGGAATAATTGGTCCCAAGCAATTATTCCCGCGGCAAACGGGAATAATTGCTTAATACGAACGGCAAAAAACGGCAAACTTACACAGGTGCCGAGGAGTGGGTTTTCAAGTCCCCTATCTTCATCGCATCGGCTATCTTACAAATGTATGTAGTTTAGTTTGTCAATGAGTGTGATGTCTGGTCTGTTGTGGTAAATTGTTTTATCTGTGATTATAGCTTTGTCTTATTACGTTTGGGGCATGTTGTTTTCTAATACTGTCTGTGAAATGTGTTAGTAGTATGGTTCACGGATGTCTAAAAATTTCTGATTGTTTGCAAGTC